ACTTAATGGTTAGGACACAGACCTGTGGGTTACAGATGCTAATGCTAGTGCTAATGCTCTTATAACAACTTAATGGTTAGGACACAGACCTGTGGGTTACAGATGCTAATGCTAATGCTAATGCTCGTGTGGGATCGGACTTTAAAAAAAAACTGGATCTGGAGTCTGGATCTGCATTTTCTCAGCTAATTTCGCCGGTAATCATTGAGAGCTTCTGTTGTGTATCCGTTGTGTTTTGTTCTTTTGGAGGGAACGGACAGAACTAAAGAAAGAGATTATTAACAGAAAATCCAGGGGGTGATTAATTATTTTTCATGATTTCCAAGAAACAAAAGGCTCAAAACGTCACGATGACTTTGTGGAACTCCTGTCTGAGGCGGTTAGACAGATTTCCTCTTTATTCTGCCACATTTCTCTGTTTTAGCTCAAATATTTAAGCTCTGAATAAACACATCCGGCCTTAACTCATTGACTGGCAGCTATTTTCAGAACAGAGTCCCAGAGTTTTTTTAAGCATTTTGACTGATTTTTCAAGAGCCACAGAATAGTTTGTGCTCTGACTATGTAAACACCGAACACACCAAAAGAAAGAGTAGACTCTCTTCTTTCATCAGGAAAAAAAATGTGTTTCTACCTTATTCCGTTCTTCCTGGACTTGCGTCTCACCGGCGACATGTTCTCTCATAGAACCGTTCCCTTTTTCTTATTTGCCTACAGTCTATGCTCATCTCCCATCAAAAGTGGCACTGCCCCCTAGAGGGTCAATTTGTTACTACATACTCTGTCTAGAAGCCGATATTTACGGACAAGCTTTAGCAGATCGTCCCCCAGACACTCTCGTTGAAAAACATAAAAGACGTCTATAGACGTCTTTGGCAGCCAATGAGTTAATGTTCTGCCCAGATTGTCCCTGACTGAGAGCTCTCCCCCCCCAGGTGTACGAGGGCTCCTCGCCTCTCCGGATTGGCTACTACGAGAGCGACGGTTACTCAGAGCCGGCTCCAGGAACCGCGCGCTGCATCCGGGAGGTCAAAGCCCTACTGGAGCGGGCGGGGCACACGGTAGGACCCCCCCCCCCAGGAGTACCAGGGCCCCCATAGGGGAGCTCCTCCTGAGGAACCGGGGTTCCCT